TTTTTTTTCCCACTCTCGKMGGAGTAACCYCCWATTTACATTACATGCRTCTCTGCTGCGGTGTGCAGGTCGCAGGTGTTTGTTTGTGTCTCAGTTTATACAGCCTCTGCTCCGCTCMGGTCCGWCAGAGTGTGCAGGAAGGRGATYGCGCGATACATTCAATGATAACATCAAAAAATAATTGATTCTGTGAAAGACGAACTCCAAACACAGCTGAAAACATTGATATAAAGGCTTTTGATATCTATGTTGAAACAGTCTCGGTGTTGTCTTTCTGAAACTTCTGATTTCAAAATAAAATCCACGTGTATCGTGTGTGTACACAWATGCTTCATRCWACATGTTTCCATCTGCYTCCCAAACAGAACRATACATTCTGACAGCTTTTGTGTAGAAATATATATTTATTAAAATGGCTGCAATTTTGACATTCCGACAAATTATCCCGCCGAATAGTGTCTTATTTTGAAATACGGATGTTGTGCTCTTTCCTTTTCCTGTTGGTGTGACGTAATCTTTAAAAACTGACTCCGGTGCAGCTCCGGCATCCGTCAAAAATAGGATTTGCTCTAATTTTGACRGATCGCCGTCCACTCACCGTCGCCGTGCGCAGCCAGTGTAAACATTCTCATTAATTATAATGGGTGCGTATTTGCTGCTGAGGTCGGACCGGAGCGKAGACCCAACGCAAGTAGTGTAAATTGGGGGTAATACGCTTCTTCCTTTTCTCCTGCCCTTCATTATCTTTCCCTGCTTTGCTGCTGGAGCCTTCTCTACATTTTTCATCCGAAATAAGAAATCATGGATGTTTTTATTTTTATGGATTTGGTTAGCTGGTCTCAATAAAATTTTTGGAACAAAGTTTTTTCTTCTTCCATGGGAGGACATGTCAAAGGTGGGACCTCTGTTCTTCTCTGTTCTGGATTTATGTCTGGACTTCGATCATTGGATTCTACACATTGGCTGGCTGGTCTCCTGGTGTTCTATAAACCAGCGTTGGTGGCTGTTCATCTCCTGGCTGACTGACCAATTCGATGGGTGGCCGAATTCTATCAGAACTCAGGCATTTTGCCTTAAGCGAACAGGACTCGGTCTGCAAGCGGTTCTATTGAGGGTCACGGGCCGGCTGTGGTCCCTGGACTTTGCTGGCCAGACGGAATTGATCTGGGAGGAAGCTGTTAGATTCGGGCTCGGCGGAATTTTGTCCACACCATTTTGCCTGATTGGGATCGCCAACCTTGAGAGTACCAACAGGAACTCTAAAGCAGATGGAAATTTGTTGTCGTCTGCTTGTCTCTTGTTCCCAAAACAACTGATTACTGAATCTGGATCTCCCTGACAACGGCCTTGGATCTGTTGACTAAATTCTTCCTGGCTGGATGTGTCGACAAAGGCTCTGCCCCCCACCTTTCCCACTCCKTTCACCAGTCTAATCTGCTTTTCCAGAGCAGGCTGAAAGCTGCACAGAAATGACCAGTTTCCATCAATATTTCTGAACAATACTGGTTTTGGGGGACTGGATTCTTCGGGGCCCCTTAAACTCACTTACTCCTCTGGATAATAAACTTGCTCTATGCAGAGGTTTTMTTCATAAACACCATACACACTCACAGTGTTGATATAATATGATGTTTTTGCTTTTTTCCTCATCTTCCCTTCCCTTGTGTGWTTTTCAGTTTTTCTTTGTTTCCAAGTTGGTGCCACGGCAGGCTGCCTGTTATTGCAACTCCACTATTTTGAGCTGCTGTTATGTTCCAATTTCCCTACTGTAGGATCAATAAAGTTCTATCTTATCTTATCTTCACACCTGTAATGCTACGTTCAAGGCTGGTGAGAAACTGGGACATCCAAGCCTGACCACATTAACTGTGTTAGTAGTAGTAGTAGTAGTAGTAGTAGTAGTAGGAGTAGTAGCAGCAGCAGCTTACCGGTATATCCTTTGAAATAAAACACACACGGGTTCCAAAAATGTAACTTGTGTGGACTTTCCCTTTGAACCAAAGTACAAATCAGTTATGTTATTTTTTCCTCGAGAAAATAACTGGAAAATATACTTGTTGGTAGTCTTTGCAGAGGAACACTGATAAATTGATTTGTCCACCCACAACCCCATCCCCCTCTTGTGAACAGTGTTCAGGTCACCTATATGAAGTGTATCACAAAAGYGAGTACACCCCCCACATTCCTGCAGATATTTAAGTATATCTTTTCATGGAACAACACTGACAAAATGACACTTTGRCACAATGAAAAGTAATCTGTCTGCAACTTTTACAACAGTATAAATTTATTCTTCCCTCAAAATAACTCAATATACAGCCATTAATGTCTAAACTACTGGCAACAAAAGTGAGTACACACCTAAAAGACTACCCCCCCCAAATGTTCAAATTGAGCACTGCTTGTCATTTTAGTGTTACTCGTTAGTGTTACTAGGTCTCAGGTGTGCATATGAAGCAGGTGTGTTCAGTTTTGTAGTACAGCTTTCACACTCTCTCATACTAGTCACTGAATGTTCCAACAAGACACCTCGTGRCAAAGAACTCTGAGAATCCTAAAAGACGAATGAAGATGGCCAAAGCTACAAGTGGATTGCCAACACCCTGAAACYGATCTGCAGCAGCACAGTGGCCAAGATCATCCAGCGTTTTAAAAGAGCCGGGTCCATTCAGAACAGACCTCACGTTGGTCATCCAAAGAAGCTGAGTGTCCGTGCTCAGCRTCACATCCAAATGCTGTCTTTGAAAGATAGGTGCAGGAGTGCTCCAGAGATTGAAGAGGTGGGGGGGTCAKCCTGTCAGTGCTCAGATCATATGCCGCACACTATATCAAATTGGTCTGCATGGCTGTCACCCCAGAAGGAAGCCTCTTCGGAAGTCTGTACACAAGGAAGCCTGCAAACAGTTTGCTGAAGACATGTCAACAAAAGACATGGYTTATTGGAGCCATGTCCTATGGCCTGATGCGACCAAGATTAATTTGTTTGGTTCAATGGTTCAAATGTTCTCAAGCRTGTGTGGTGGCAGTCAGGTGAGGATTACAAAGATAAGTGTTTGATGCCTACAGTCAAGCATGGTGGTRGGAAAGCCATGGTCCGGGGCTACATGAGTGCAGCAGGTGTTTGGGAGTTACAYTTCGTTGAGGGACACATGAACTCCAAGCAGAGCATGATCCCCTCCCTCCAGAAACTGGGTCACGGGGCAGTGTTCGAGCAAGATAATGACCCCAAACACACCTCTAAGATGACCACTAAGATGACCACTGCTTTATTGAAGAGGCTGAGGGTAAATGTGATGGACTGGCCAAGCATGTCTCCAGAACTAATAGAGCCAATAGAACATCTTTGGAGAATCCTCAAGTGAAAGGTGGAGGAGCGCAAAGTGACAAATATCCACCAGCTCCATGATGTCGTCATGGAGGAGTTGAGAAGCATTCCAGTGGCAACCTGTGAAGCTCTGAAAAACTCCATGCCCAGGAGATTTAAGGCAGTTCTAGAAAACAATGGTTGCCACACAAAATATTGWCACTTCAGGAACTTTCACTAAGGGGTGTACTCACTTTTGTTGCAGGTGGTTTAAACRTTAATGACTGTATATTGAGTTATTTTGAGAAGAATAAATTCACACTGTTATAAAGCCTGCACACAGACGACTTTTCATTGTGTCAAAATGTCATTTTGTGAGTGTTGTCCCATGAAAAGATATACTTGTATGTCTTGTTTTTAACAATTTGTGTTTTGAATTGTTTTACTTAAACCACAATGTAAATTTAAACTCTGATACACTCTGTGATGTGTCGTGCGGACCTCTTGACCAGGTCACCCTTGTAAAAGAGATCCTGATCTCAATGGGTTTTCTACCTGGTTAAATAAAGGTTATTGGTTGATTGATTGATTGATTGATTGATACTTTAATATATGCAGGATTGTGAGGGGTGTACTCACTTTTGTGATACACTGTATGTCTTGAGTCTGAACCCAGCCCCAAGTTTTACTCAACCAGTGTTTCCAAACAGCCTGTTAAAGTTGATTTTGAGAGTGATTRGTGCAGCAAAATTGCCTCCTTCCAAACGTCGCACCCCAATCCCTTYGGTGGGTTACCTCACTGTGTAGTCCTGCATCCAATTAGATTTACCAGCCATCCCCTTTAACAGCAGCTCCCCTTTTATGACAATGTGCATTTGTTACTGGCCAGTTTGGGTTTCAGTGGCTTGGACCAATCCTCAGGGGTGTTGTTTAAATAATGTTTGGTTAAGATAGTGGTTCAGGGGGTGGGGGAGCACAAGACACCCTGCACAAAAAATTCCAGGAACTTGCTCTGAAAGCGGACGACCTTGAAAACAGAAGWTGGAGATCTAATCTGAGAATTGTTGCTGTTCCTGAGAAATTTGGGCATAGGGAAATCACGRCATTCCTGCAAACCTAGCAGCTGAAGATTCTGGGATGGTACCATCTCTTCTGGCAATAAACCACTATTTGAAAAAGGGCCTGATAAAATCATAGTCTGCTGTGTGGTACAGGCAAAATATTGTATAGCCAGGTCTTGGAAATCTTTTGCCAGACCTCAGTTGAAAACCTGGTTGTTTTTGCAATTTAATGTTTTAGTACTGGAGAAACTTACCTTTATGATTAAGGGTAAATGTTCTGCTTAAAAAGATGTGGGAAATAATTTTGCTGTTTTTGAAATGTGGAAGTATTTGTAATGATGAATAAATATTGTCGGGCTAATTCTGTTCTTATTTTTGCAGCAGTTGTAATATTTTTACTTGCATCTCAAATTAAAAGAGTCCAAGTGTACCAGCTTGTATGAAAAGTATAAGAAACAAAATCATTGTCCAATTACCATGACCCAAGGAGGACAGTTTATTGTTGCAACCATCTCATCTGACACCTCTCTAGTGTCTATGCTCTGATCCCTTGGACTAAATCTGAATATACGAACTTTAAATACATTGTCACTGCAGTTTACATATTTGTTTGCCACCTTTAAGATTTATGTTATTCATGGTTGTTTGTTTTTGTTTGGCGTTACCTGCGCATTTGTGAGTGACCCGTCTTTGTACCTGGGTTAAAACACATGAAAAAGCTATAAACAGTATTTAAAAAAATTATAACTGGAATATTGTAATACGAATACATTTTAACATTGTCTGAAACTTACAAAACTATTTAAGAACTGTAATACTGTTGAAATACTATTAAAATGTTGATGTCCACAAAATATTTTAAAATGTGGTCAAGGACTAAAGACTAAAAGTAATCACATAAATGAATAAGACTGCTCGAAAACAAGGTGTGTATTAAAAAATGGAACTTCTTAGCAGGATGGGATGAAGGATAGGGGGAAATCTGCTTTTTTTATGTCTATCAAAGTTCAATTTTCAAAGACTGAATTTTATCATGTAGAAGAAAGTTCCCAAACTTTTCAGCTTTTGACACACACACACACACACACACACACACACACACACACACA